TCCTGACAGTGCAGAGATCCTGGGATATTGTGCGCACGATTTGTGCGGTAGTGCATGACAGGATTACGTGGCTAATCGTGACATGAAGTCAAGCATTTTTTCCTGACAGTGCAGAGATCCTGGGATATTGTGCGCACAATAGCGCAGCGCGCTGATTCTAAAAATAGCTTAAAGATTCGGACAAACATTGCATTCTGTTTAACCGGTACGAGGATTATACGAACCGATTTTTTTATTTTTACTTAAAGTTAATAATAATTTAATCACTTATTGTGCGCGTATTCCATACAATGATCATGCGCGCATTACAATAATAATATTATATATATATAACTATATAACTATTTACAAATAGGATGAATAAATATATTGATGAATACTAAAAAAACTATCAAAATGCTAATTTAAGAAGGTGGGTCTTAAGATGGCGCTGTTACAGTTACAATAATAACCCATGTAAACTAAGATCAACTGCGATCGGCTGTGAAAATTATCTGCTGAAAGTAAACTTGTAAGTTTGTTTGTCCGAATTTCGCCTTTGTCTTCGTTTTTATGACGTCACGGCTGCGCTACGCTATTCGCGCGGTAGTGCATGACAGGATTACGTGACTGATCGTGACATGAAGTCAAGCAGTTTTTCCTGACAGTGCAGAGATCCTGGGAAATTGTGCCCACAATTTGCGCGGTAGTGCATGACAAGATTACGTGACTGATCGTGACATGAAGTCAAGCACTTTTTCCTGACAGTGCAGAGATCCTGGGATATTGTGCGCACAATTTTCGCGGTAGTGCAAATGTGAGTACATACGAGTAGAGTTTGTTAGGTTTCTCCCTTGATTCGATTTTTTTCCTGGTTCTCTAGTTTTCGTAACAACTCAACCAGCTAAATTTCAATTCGATCTTGACACTGATTTCAGTAGCCTGCGTCACATCCGGAATTTTCTTCGTAAATACGGTCTTACGAAGAAAATTCCGGATGTGACGTAGGCTATGATTCCAGCGAAAACTACGACTTAGGGAATCAGTCTAATTCGATCTGTGAGTTAGTTCTGTCCTGTCCGTAGATCAGTCAGATGTTGTTTCAGAAACTGTCTACATATTTTATATTTATTTTTTCCCGGTCCGGTATCCTAAAAGATCGCGCGTTCTGATTGGCTTGGTATATACTTATTGTTTCAACTATTTACAACAGTCTTTCTTTCTTTTTTCTTATATTAGCTCCAGAACTTTTTTCGTGCCTCTGTTCATATCAGTTTATTTGGTTCGCACTTTTTTGTGCTAGAACCCTCTGTTTGTCCTGGAAAGCAGAAAGATATCTAGAACACTTAAAATATAAGGCGCGATTACGCGGAGTATTTTTCTCTGCAACTTGTCTCGCAACGATTTGCGACACAAATTGCATAGAGCATTGCAGCGTGTAACCTACAAGTTGTAGCAATCGTTGCGAAAAGTAGAATTTTTTTCTACTTTTGGCAACGATTGCATCCCGTTGCATCGTGTAAACACTCTTGCACTGTTGAGAGACAAGTTTCAGAGAAAATGGCTTCGTTGTAATCACGCCTTTATCAAAACCAATAAGTTATGTTCGACATTTTAAGCTCCGAAATAATGCATTTCTGAATTCTCGATTGAAGATTCCGTATATTAAAGGATTAGAAGCACTATTCACGTAAGTTAAAATGACGCAAAAGTGGGCTACAACACCAATCACTTTTGAAAACGAATCGATGAATACCATCAAATAAAATGGCGTCCAACTACAGAAGAATGAGCCAATCACAATGAGGAACGTGCGGAAGGTTTTGATTTCTTTCTTAAATGTGCGGTTTCTCGATGTTTGGCTTTGAGAACTCGAGGTATCGACAACGGAAGTGTCCTGGGTTTCGTTCAGTTCTATTGCTTGGGGTACCTGTGCTTGTATCCGCTTCAATTGACGCGTGGCAATAATCCATATCTTACAGTTGACGAAGACGACGCACACCAAAGGCAAGAGGAAAAGAAGAAGAAAGTCAATGGAGCTATAAATCAAAGGTAGACCCGACACCTCACACAAAACTCTTGTCGGAGACATTTTGAGGCCGTAGCAATTTATTATCGCAGCAATGAAGGATGTGGACCAGATACCTACGATCAGTCGGATCACGTGACGATCACTCATGCGCATTACGTAGAGGAGCGGTGACGTCACTGCGATGTAACGGTCCCACGTGACTGCGCAGAGATTCAAGATGGATGCGCAACCGAACCACATACTTGCTAGCACCCAGACATCACATACTGCTTCACCGAATATCCAATATCCTGGAATAAAAAATTAAAGAAAAAGATTGAAGGCATTTCAAGAAACCTATCTAATTGATTAAGGCGGGAGATAATTATCTAATTGATTAAGTCGGGCGTTTTTGGTCATAACCAAGAGAATATGAAGTAAGAGAGCACAAGGAAAAGGGACAGTATAGACAATAAATTAAGTTTGTTTGCGTAAAAAAAAACAAAAAAAAACACTTCAATTCAATGCAAAGAGTTAAAGCATACCTTAGAAAGTTAATTAATACTAGTCTGTAAATTACTCGAAAAAAGGGTGAAAACGATAAGAACTCGATTATATTTATTGCGCGTCTCGAACAATTTCTGGCCGCTTAGATGTTGTGTCGGCATATACGCTACGTTCTTGTAGCAGGTGTCTTCTCAACCCACTCGCACAGCAAGAGAACTTTAATGAGCTTTTTTACTGCTGAGACCATTTCTATTTGCGAGCAGTTACTACAGACTTTACCAGGTTTCAAGTAACATCATGTGACCCAAAAATAGCCCATTGATTGGCTGGTTTCCTCATAAWTTATTAATGAGCATGAGAATTTATTTTCGCTTTCATTTAAGCTTCCTTCAGAATGAGCTTCTGCCTTCTTGTTGTTCACTTACCAACGTGCAGATGTATGACCAACTCACTCGCACAGCAAGACGATTGGTTTGTCGTCCACTCGCTAAGATAATTTTCTATTTGACCCATGTCTATCCCATGCAGTCATTTGAACTTTTCAATACATTTTGACTTTAATTTTAACTTTCTTGTTGTTGTTCACTTACAGCAGGTGTATGACCAACCCAYTCGCACAACAAGACGATTGGCTTGTCATCCATTGAGAGTCCATTTTCTATTCAAATTGACCTTCCAGTCATCGGGTCAAAATTTAAAATTACTTTTTTAATCTATATTTTTATTTTTATTTTAGTTTTCGCTTTTACTTCCACTCGACCAACTTTCTTTTCGTTCGAATATTCGTTTCAGTAAGCTCATTAAACATATCCTGGCAAATTTGCTTAGATTCAAATAGCCGTGTATTATTCCTATCAATCTGTATTTACTTATCCATTGTTCCTGTGAGAGAAACAATAAATCGACAGCTTTTTACTGTTTTCTAGAAAATGATCTTTTCCGCTGACAAGATTTCTTTGCCTATCAATTTTGTGTGTCGAAATCTTCTCAATCTTCTTTTTCTTCTTCGTATTCGTCGTCTTCTTCTTCTTCTTCTTCTTTAACTCCATTCTTGTTGTTGCAGATGTTGAACAGTTAGAGCCTCACAAACTTGCATATCCAACTCTTTTGAGGATATACAGCGGTCATTTAAAGGCTTCTTTAAACAAAACAAAGGATTGAATAATCTCTTTGTTGGCAAGCCAAGCGGGAACATCCACTCTTGTAAATAAATTTTACCCATAGATTCTATCATACCACACAAAAACACGTCGACTTTCCAGGTGCCCAAATATCACCAATTGTTAAATCCCTCGATGAGGTCTCAATGTTATCTTTACTAGAAAACTAGTTTTTGCTTTGGAAAATTAAATTTTTCACCTGCAACACGTCTAAAAAAATCTTTTTCGTTCTAGCTTTGTAATTATTTATTTACTTAAAAAAAGAAATTCAACGCCTAATTTAAACCAAGCTTTGTACTCGAGTAATGATCGCCTTTTTCATTTGTGTGTATATGTATAATCTGATGTAACTAACACTTCCTCTTGCAGAATTTCAGAAGACGGTCATTAGATGATAACTGAAATATTCTAAATTCTAAATAAAAGATATCAAACAACAACTTTCTTGTTATTTTTGTCCGAATTAATAAACTTAACATGGCGAATTAAGAAATTTCTTAGCATCAAAAAAGCAATGTTAATAAGTGCCCAAAAGTCGTTTTCTCGTATATATATTATGTTGGAGTTAGTTGTAATTGTGAAGCTAGCATTTGATTCCCCCCTCAGGTGTTTTACCTTTCATTTGAAATGTCATCATATATGCCAGTGATAGAGGTAGCACAAAGACCCCAACTAGAAAGTCGGCGACAGCCAAGCTTGCTACAAAGTAATAGCCAGGAAAATGAAGTCTTCTAGTCACRAAGATGGTCCTACAAACCAATGCATTACCAACACCACATAGGACAATCAATATAGACAAGAAGAGAGCAAGAGTTAGAATATCAGGTCTGGTCAACACTTGACCTAAACTCGATTCCTTGAAGTTGTTCAGGATAGAAGAAACGGTTGTCGAGGTGGTTAGATTTGGGACGGAAATTGAGAGGTTTGGCATGGCTCTTTGTTATCAAAGGTTCAAAACAAGCGAATACGAAAGACAAGTGCATTAACCTGCCTAGCTAGGAATCAACCACAACTGTATATTCTCACTGAAGAGCATATGTTGTATATTGACCATATCATGAATTGTAATGAGCCTAGTTTGTTCGGTAATTGGTGGAAATTACTAATGATAGCCATTGGAAATTTAATTCTACTAACCAAAATAAGTTTGTTAATAGTTTTTTTTCATTATTTCATTTTTAATTAAGGCAAAAGACTAAAACAGGTGCATGATATCTTAATAATAAATGTATAATATATAGGGAAGGAAGGCTTTCATTTCTGTACTAACCAAAATATGTTTGTTAATAGTTTCTTTCGTTAATTCATTTTTAATTAGTGTAAATGAACCCTTTGGCAGCACATTCAGTACTGGTTCTGCATAAAGTAAATAGTTGATTGGTAAAATATTTCTTGATTTGAGTGATGCGTCTCTAAGTTATCAAGGTTTATACTTCAAATATGTTAATGATGATGACGTCAGGTAAGGTATTTGAGTGTTTTTTTTGTAACTAGTGATATTAAATGCTGGCCATTTTGAAAATAAAAATTTTCAACCATGAGTAAAATAATGATGCTTTTTAAATACTGTATCTATGAACCAGTTCGATTTTGTATATTTAATTAAGCCTTAATAGACGTCACACTCATTAGCATATTGGAAGTTTAGCATATACCAAYTTGTGTACTTCCTAAGAACACGCGCGCTCATTGGTTATTGGAGGTGAATATTGTACGATATTCACCTCTGAATCTTGGAATATTGAGTCGGCAACAAAATGGCATCTGCCGGCAATTGTCGATGAGGAAATTGAAAAAATGAAAGTAAATGCCATTCCTATCAATACTAAAAAGGCAACGAAGTATGGCCTAAACGTTTTGCTAAAAGTTTTGCTTGAATTTGTCACGCAAACTAAAAGTTTCTGTTTGTTTGTTTTTATTGAATTATTGTATATAAAAATAAGTTACTAGAACGTTTTCCAACAACCGGGGTTAAAAATTCTAATGAGTTTGCTAATATGCTAATGATCTACGTACCGTACTGCCAGCTAAATTATACCGAAATAATCTGCGTGAAGAAGTTTTAACCTTAAAATGCTAGTCTTATTGCACTTTCTGTGAACTTGTCATAATTTCCAGGAATGTAAACGAACTCAGCATTAAAACGCTTGCCATTCTAAAACGTTCTTACAAAACTATTAACGCTATATATTTGGTTTTAAGAGAAGTAAACTTGCTGTTGCTGGTGCTGGCCTTTCTCCGGCTTTTCAGAAGTTTCATATATGTAACTTCTGAGAAGTCGGAGATAGGCCAGCAGCAACGAGTTTACTTCTCTAAAAACTCACTAAAATTGTTACAAGATTTTTATAGAAGTTTTATTCAACAGCAACGTTTATAAATTACAAATCTTTGAGTAGAAGTGACGATATACCAGCTCGCTATAACAGTCGAGACTGAAGATTTGAATCCATTTTTTAATAGCTTGGTTATTCTTATCTAGATATTTGTCCACCTTGCCTAAAACGGCATCTACTTTACTCATCGTTTCCAAAGCCTTTTCGCACATTTTCTTATGTGCAGCTTGGGTTTCTGCTGCATTGTCAACCTTCCTCTTTTTAGATACCTTGTTCGTACCGGCAAAGCAGTCATCTTTTTCATCAAACTCGCTCTCGCATGATGATGACGCAACATACTCTCCCTCTAATTTGTCCTTCACTGCCTGTCTTCTCTGGGAAGGCGTTTTCTTCTCTGCATACTTCATGGAGTCTATTGGTTCAGTCGGGGAAGCCAACATTTTCTTTAAAATGTTCTTCATTCTGGTTATCAGTCGACTTGCCAGTGGGCTCTCCAGATAGAGTGCCACAACATGATGAGGGAGTTGTGCCTCTAGGATTCTTT